TTGAACTCTGTGCTGGCTTGCTGTGAGGTCCTGCTTCTCAGTGTTCTGTGAGATTGTTGCGGTGGCTCAGGATTCTGAGGTGAAGTTTTACTTGGTCAGTTTCTAACTTCCTAACATGGGATTTTACTAAGATTCAAAACACTTCCTCTACATCCCTGAACACGTTGTCCCCTTCCCCATTTCGAATCCACAGGCTGCTCCGAATACAGCCCCAGCCCGTGTGCCTCATGCTAAAGCCCTAGTACCCCTCCTATTCTGATTAGACTAGTCCCCATACAAGTTGCTCATAAACTGCTCAGGATCAGGCTGTCTAGGCAGATAAAAGTTGCCCTTGTGGACTTTGTATATAGCATGAAACATTAAGTCACAAAATCATAGGTGTTTGTAAGCTGGGGACTGAGTGATAGCGAAGAATCATACATTCGGTTCTGTCCGTTCAGGTGAATGCCGCTCCTTATAACTCATCAAAGCACCCTTTCCGACTTTGGGAAATGCTCAACGTGTAGGTGATGTCACGCACCATACTACCAAAGCCTTGCTTATAATAATGAAAAAAGGAAAAGCTAAAAACATCCAACAGAGGCAGATTAAAAGATAAATTACATGTCAAACAGTACCAAGCAGCCATTCAAAGGATTGTGGTGAAGTGTATTTAATAGCAAGAAAAGATGTTCATGATATACTTTAAGGTGAAAGTGGCTGTTGACTGCGGTTTATCTGTTGTACGCCAGCCCCTCCCCATTAAAAAAATGCGGGGGTAATAGACACCAAAGTGTTAGTGTCCTTATATCCGAATAACATAATTAAAAGTCATTTTTATTTTCCTCATTGTGCTTTTCAGCATTCCTAGAATTCCCTAAAATAAACATATGCTATTTATATACTTCTTAAAGATTCATTAAGAAAAGAAGACCTGGGTTTTATGGTCTCTCTCACACTGACATGTATCAAGCAAAGCTCCCTTAACTTTCTGCTCAGGCAAATGCTTTATTTGTGTTTGGAAGAGAGTGAGTTTTTCTCTGCCTGAGACCAGAGCTGGTCTCTGAGCTTCCTGTCAAGTCCTTTCCTGCTCGAAGGTGTTCTAGGTGGCCTGTAATTCCTCCTCAGCCTGACCAGTCAGGAGGCATAGGATTCTGATGGACGGATGGAAGTGAATTCAGGAAGAGCGCAGGAGGAGCTCGCAGAAAGATAGTAGAGGAGACGGCGCTAGGAACCCGGATTCTCGTAGACATCTGGGGAGGTTTTTCAAAACAGTCACGGCCTTCCATTGATTCCAATACATTTATGGAAATATGACCTCTGCCATTGAAAATAGTCCCTGAGGCATTACCAGATGGTATAGAGCAGCTTTCGTGGTTTGTGTGAAAGTGAGTTGCAAGCAGAAAAGAGAAATGAGTTGTTAGATACAAATGCTGTCATAGTGAGGCAGGTGGGCCACCGCGGGGGCAAGTCCTCTAGGATGAGAGACATGCTCCTCTGGGTACTGCTCTGTATTTGGCAAGTGGTAGACGTTTACACGTGGAGAGACATGGTCTGGAAGTGTACCTAAGCTTGAATGTAAACTCGGGACCACAGCCAGCGATTGGGAGGCTTAGTGATTCATTGGAGGAAAAGGTGACCTCATGTTTGAGTTTAGAGAGATGGAAATGAAATTGTGTGTGTGTGTGTGTGTGTGTGTGGTTCTGGCCAAAGTGAGAGAAAAAAGTACTCCTTGAGCAAGATATTTGGTCACCAGCAAGATGGAGTCACAGGTGCCAGAAGGAAGCAAAGTTACACGCACATATAAGAGCCTCTTGGATCAACCAAGTAGACCTTTAACTTGGAAACCGGGCAGCATATTGAAGGATATCCTGTCTCTATAAACTCCGTTCAGTGTTTTGAATGGAACCCAAGCGACAGAGCCAAGATGGGGAATGTCAGGATTGACACAGAGACAAGACAGACCTCATGTCATCCAATTTACAGCAAAACATAAATGACATCTCCCACTTGAGAAGTTGACTACTAAGAGAGTTGGAGTAAAAAATGAGGCTGGTTAACCTCAGAGATCTCTGGATAACAAGGCTGAACTTGGGGTTCCAAGGCCACTATGACAGAATTAAATGTCATAATGCATATAAATCACTTATCACAGAAATTGTTGCATACGTGGCAGTAGAAGTCACAGTCATGGTAACATCACGTAGTAATAATTTTCACTGTTACTCTAATTATCTTGAACAACATGATATGGCTTTGTTGAATGGGGCTTGACCTAGAAATTTTATGTCCAGGGTAATAAATACTATTCTGGTGAAGGTGCTAATCTTTATCACAGACCTTCTAGAGCAGAACTGGCTGGTGGAAATCTAGATGCTGTCTAAGGGTGCTCTCCAGATGTCATTTAGGCAGATCCAGACTTTTCTGCCCAGAAGATTCTCTCCAGTGGAATTCGGTCATTTCTAGCATTCCAGACAGGGAATTCAGACTGAGTAAGAATGACTGGGAAGCTGTTGTTCATTACCTCCCTGGCAGATAAGAAGATGGAGATGCTCCAGAGATCCATTTTCTAAAAGAATTTTCCACAAATTTGCTTTAGGCAATCAGAGAAGGACAAAAGTTTTAGTTTCAGATAGTGATTGTTTTAGGAGACAGGAGTTTTACAGAGCTCAAATTTTTCTTTTTTCATAAGGAGTACCAGTTTCTTCAGTATCAGTAGAAGTTATTATAAATCCCTTTAAAGAAGGCACTGCTATGCCTGTGGTAGGGAATAGAGGTGACCCCCGTAGTGGAGTCTGAGGGGAGACAGAGGCACGGGAAGACTTAGTGAGGGTCTCGGGGGACATGTGAGCAGCATCTGCAACAGGGAGCACGTCCCGCTCTGTGCCAGTGGCCTGGGCCCCCTGAGAACAACAGATGTGGACGGGCCTTCAGGGATCAAAGACACTTCAATCCAAAGTTTCTACTTCCTGTTTGAACTTGATATTTGTGGATTTTCCAGAGGGTGAATGGGTTGTAACTTTCCAGCAGGAAGGCCAATGAGCCAGGGGAACTTGGACCGTGGATCACTGACTTCACCAGCCCTTGGAGTCACCCACACCAGCCTCCTGCAGGTATCTTCCTGGCAAAGGGACATCGGTTGCTGGTGGCAGAGGAAAAACCAAGAACTGGGATCCAAGTTATACATCCGGCTTTCAGTCTTGATTTCCCCTCATGGATTTTGCTCACTCTTTTTTGCTCACCCTGCTGCAACAGCTCTTTCTTAGGTCATGAAGGTATGATCCCCAGCCAGGAGGCACATTCATACATTCACTCAGTTCACTCAGTAATGGATAAATATTACATAACTTTTAAATGCGTAATTAAACAGGCAAAAAAAAAAAAAAAAAAAGAAGGGAAATTCCTCCATTAAAGACTTAAAAAGAAAAAAAGGGAGTGAACTTCATTTGTGTTAACATGTGCACTGCCATTGTTCTCCCAGAAAGGAAATGCTATACCAGATAACTGTTACGAGCTTAGCATTTCAAGTCCATGTTGAACTAGGACACAAAACCTGCGGCGTTCGAAAGGCAGAAATTTGAACCTAAAACACCTGCATAAAAGCTGGACCATCAGAGGCCTTTCCTTCTAATAAATGAATGGCTTGTTGGGAGGAAAAAAATCACCTATAAACACAGAGACATGACAAGTGAGCTAGTCTTTGTATGAACTCTGTGAGAAATAGCTTCCCTCTGAACTAACAAAACCTCGGGACAGTGCCACTCCCCTGGGTGTGTTCTGGGAATCCTCAAATGAAGAATTATCATAAAAATTGTTCCTGGGCCAGTGGCACTCCCAGGGCTTGAATGAAGTCAATACAAAATGGCTTTTGAGGGACACAGAGCCCAGACCACGTGGAATTCCTGCACGTGGACGCTGCACAAGAAGCATCCGAATAAAATCACAACACTCACCCAGTTATGGTGAACAAGAGCCCGAAGATGTGATGAATACAAGCTTAAATACCTAAAACTTCCAGTGGAAAAACTAAGAATTCTAATAACCTAATAATAATCTATTATCATTATAATAATTCTAAATAGCTAAGAACTCTAATAAATTAAATGCTTCAAAGCTATTTAAAGGTTGTTAAAATAATAAAATGAAGGATGAAGCCCATAGCAGTAAGATCATTTAAATACCAAAAAGGCAAATTTGAAAGGGGTTAACAGTAATTAATTAATTTTTGAGTACTCACTGTGGGTCATGTACACTTCGATGGGTTTGAAGCAGATGATTTTAGGTGATTACCAAAACAACATTCTATGTTAGATGTAATTACTATCCCGATTTTTAAGCATGTAGAGACATAGGTTAATTAATTTGACCAAAACTGCAGATACACTAAATTGTAGTGTCATCATGTAAATCCAGGCAAAAGGTTAAGCTTCTGGTCACTTGCTCCAGTTGCATCCTTTGAGCCCTCCCTGAGGTCCAAACACAAGGCAGTAGGAGGTAAGATGTAAAATATAAAAATCTACATTTGTCCTAAAAGGAGTGAAAAATTTCCATGGATTAGAAAGAAGCTCAAAGCAGAAAATGCAAATGAAGGGAATGAGAGCCAGGACTTCAGGAGGAAGATATTCAAAGGCCTAGCAAATAGCAAGTGCCTAGTTTCTGAGTTGGGACTGTATTCAGTCTGTTTGAGGAACCTGAGGCCAACGAGGCTGCAGCTCATTATGCAACAGGAAGAATGGTGGGAAGATCTATCGTATTAAACAAAAGTTCCAATCAGACACGTGGTATTTGGATGAGATACGGTAGCATGGAACTAAAAGGAAAAAAACCCAACTATTTAATAAATAATCATGCATAATTTACATCTGTTTGAAAAAAATCAATCCTTAGCTCACATACTTTTTAAAAATTCCAAAAAATAAAGGCCTAATGTAAACCCCAAAACAGAAAGTCAGATTGTTACCCCACACTGAACATATATATGGTATACTGTGCAAATATATATCAAAATTAGCACACAGCACTTAAAGAAATATGAGTTTTTTTATAACATAGTAATATAGAAAACATATGAAGGAATGTCCCCCAAAACATATGAGGGAATATTCTGGAGTGATGGAAATACTTCATATCATGATAGAAATTGGAATTACTTCAATGTCTGCATTTGTCAGACTGACGGAGCCAAGAACATAAAATCCATGCATTTTGCTGTACATAAATTAACCTGAATAAACAGTTCCAATAAGAGCTATAAGAAAAAGACCAACACAGAGAAAATGGGCAAAAAATAAACACAGGAAGCTTTTAGAAGAACTATAAATTAACAATGAATTTTTGGAAAAATGCTTGATTGCATTAGTAATTTGAAACAATTTCCTTGAAACAATGATACTTTTCTCCCACAAACTGATGCTCTCACACACAGTTGCTGCATGTGTAAATTGCTCAGCAATTTACAAGTGTTTAACAAGACTACTGAATATGCATAGCTTAAAATGTAGCCATCTCTGATTTACAAACATCCTTCAGACGAAATGCTACTGCAAGGACATTTATTTTAGCACCTTTTTTATAATATAAAATTTTGGAAACCACCTTAATGTCTATCAGTGATTGAAAGGATTAAAATATGATAATATTTAATGGCTCTGAAATGTACACTTAAAATGGCTGAAATGGCAAATGGAGGTATTATATTTTACCAAGATAAAAAAAGAAAAAATGCATTTTGAAAACAGAATCCTACACAGCCTTTTAAAATGGTACAACAGACTTACCTACAAATCTGAAAATATTTCATGATATTTTGTTAAATAGGTGTAGTTCTAAATATACAATATTTACATGCATGTATAAGCATTTGTACAGAAATAGATAAATATCTGCAGAGCTACGATTTTAATGGTGCTAAGTTTTTCACAATGGGTACCACTTGTGGAATTAGATTATAGGGAAGACTTCAGCATTTTATATTACATACTTCAAAAATGTTTCAATTGATAAGAGTTAGCATTTAATTGCTTTGGAATTAAAATTCAGGTTCCAAACCATATTATCACATTTTCAAAAAGTACGTGAATAAAAGAAGAAAAATTATTATATTCATAAACCTTCTAGAGGCCACAACAAATACAGAACTTTGGATGTGGTAAAACCGACAAAGTTATATTTCATTATAAATATAGGGGATCTAGGCTGGCCTGTGCATACAAGGTATGTCACCCAAACTAAATGTAACTACAGTTAAGTTTTATGTAACTTTGTTTTGATTCTAACTTGAGGACAATGACCCCAGTGCACGATGATTAGTGTAAGTGGCTGGGTGGGAGTTCTATACTGTCTGAGCCGGGAAAGCATTTGGACAAAATGATGGGACACAGCTCTCTGTATGCAGCAGTCCCACAAAATCACTAACCTTGGGTTTGTGCCTGCTAAGCAAGCTTCACTGTTCTACCCTACACGTTCTTCTATCCCATCCTGTCTCCTCTTGTAAAAAGAAGTTAGAACACAATCTGACTTGTGCCTGAAGGAACCAGTAGGAATCGGTTCCGGTGACGAAGCCCTTCCCACTCCTGGGTTCATGGTATTTCTCGCGACTGGTTTCTTCAGGGCCCCAGCCAACTTCACCTCACAGCAGATGACGAAGAGTGTCATGGAGGACAGCACCCGGGGGAGGCGTCCTGGCAGCTGACTCCCTCGGGGTCTCTAAAGGACCTGCTGGTTCTGATGCCCTGGGTCATGCCTGGTTGTCAGAGAGCAGAAGCTCCTGTGACTTTACATAGCGTCTTCATAGTCCGCCTCTGCAACATTTTCCTGCTTCAGCCTAAAGTAGATGTCTGAGGCGTCCTAGAGACACAAGCACATGGAGAGAACCAAAGCCGGGAGGTTGTGGAACGTGCCTCCCACCGGTTCTCTTCCCCGATCAGCCTGATGCATCCCGTCATGGTGCACCACGCATCGCAAACCTGGGAGCCTCCTAGAAGACCGCGTCTTAGGCCAGAGTTTTCAAAGGGCCTGCATTCCACTGGTGGCCTACAGAGGGTCTCCTGGGGAGCTTCCAGCTGATCCCAATGTGCGGGGCCTTCTCCCATTCTTACAGGCCACTGTTACACAGTTCCATGGGCTGTCATTTTTTTAAGGATGTCAACATTTTGTATTCATAAGCTAAGTTTAGAGTGTGTTATTGGAGTTTACCGAGGACATGAATTCCGTCCTGAGACTGTGGCTGCCACATAGCACTAGACAAAATCACAGAGCTCTACTGTCCTCACACACATGCAGAATTGGAATTCAATATTCTGAAAGTGTTTTTGCAGCATCAGTGATGTCTTGAATTATTCAAGGTATACAAAGTACTGCATTTTAATGATACAAATCACTGTTAGTTGAGCTTCATTCAATATTAATTTAGTTTTCTAACGGTTTCAGTTAACCTCACAGCGCAAAATGATGTATATATGTTTCAACAGTATTTTAGGTTAAAGACTTTCAAGGTAATGGGAATTTTAGACTGGGTGTGCACCATAGCTTACCTAGAAAGCATCCATATGACCATCCCTACAGGAATTGTGTGTGTAAGCCTCCAAAATGTCCTTGTATAGTGAGTGACTTTATTGTAATAACTGATTTTTTTAGCCCTACTGTGTGGGGAGATAAGAGAGGAGGTCAACTGTGGGATCCTTTGTTTTTCTTAAATGGCCATAATTTTAAAAGTTTGAGTATCGTCTCCAGAAGGAAAGAGCAGGGATTCTAACTCACCCTGTCATCAATCCGTGTCCTCGGGGGCTTGCCTGTGGAATAAAAGGCATGTGCTAAAGATTCCATTTCTATTTAAAGTCCTTCACTAAGTTAGTGTTGATAAAGGCTTGTTCTCTCCTATTTCCCCGGATTGATTTCCATTAATATTTTTAGCCCTGATATTTCCTATCACAAATATGATTCCACCATTACACAGAGGGATGCTGGCAGCCTGGGGCTGGGAGGATCGGTAGGTCCCTCTTGGCATCTCAGCGCCCTGCATTTCTGAGCCCACCTTGTTCGGGATGGGACAACGGCCGCACCCAGCTGCTTTGCTGGGGGCTCCAGGGCTCCTCAGAGAGGGCAGACAGGAAGTACCGGGGCTGCCCCGCCTGGCTGCGGAGCGCGACCTTCAGGAGGCTGAGTCAGCCCCAGCACCGGGCTCTCCCTCGAGGCAGCTTCCAGACCAAGGGCCAGTCTTGGAATTGACACAGCAGGGCCACCGTGAGGGCCCACGGCAGATGCTGCCACGCTGCCTCACACAGCCACCGTAACCCGAAAGGCACACGCGCTCCCCGCCTCCAGCCTCACCTGCTGCTGTTGGCCGCTCCTGCTGCATGCAGTACACCAAAGAGTAAACCTCATCGCCACTCACAACATTCACTGAAAGGAAAGGAGGCATCATGGCCCAGTCCCTTCCTCCTGCCAGGTAGCTCACTCCAGACCTGCACCTATCCGAGTCCAGAGGACAGGTGAGTCCCCTATGAGGTGGTGCGGGCACTGCAGCTCAGGCTTGGCTAGTGGGCATCACCCCGAGCTCCCTCTACCTACTTTGGCCCTGTCACTGGGGAAGCCTTACCATTTCCATATACAGGCTGCTGATGCTCTGGGGCCGCTGAGTTGAGGTAGGTGGATTCCTGGGGTGTAGGGCTGGGAGGGTGCCTGCAAACACAGAAATACATGCAACCTATCTGGGACAGTACCCCTGGTGTCCCAGATATCACCACCGGGATTGTAAGTGAGACACGGAAGAAGAGAACTCTTAGAAAGGGTCCTGAGCAGAATGCTAACTTACGGGAATTTCAGGAGTCAGCTCAGCTGTGTGCTACAAGCCACCACCTATACCTGGGCTGTGCAGTGACCTGCGGAGTGTTGCTGTAGCACACAACCCCTGAGTGTGACGTTCCTGCTCTGGGCTCACTGTGGTGTTGCCCACACCCGAAATAGTGTCATTCACACCACAGGGGCTCAGTAAATATTAAATGAAGGAATACTGATTCAGCCCCAATAGGAAACAGGTTTCTTAGGCAGTCAAGCAGTCTGAGGAAGGGAAAGACAAAAATGGTCTTGTGTTTACACATACCATCGAAAGGGTGCTACGCTGATGTGGAAAAATAATGTATCTGGATGACAACACGCTATAAAAACATAGCAACTAAACATTGATACTCACAGATGGAAGTATTTCCAAAATATTTTCTTCCTCTAAACTTCTAAAGAGCTTCGCCAGCAATCTTTTAGTATGTTTATTACTCTTTGGCCTGCGTTATGTAATTACACATCCTAACTGCTCTAAGATGCCTCCACACTCTCAAGATCTTTCTATATTTCCATGCCTTTCACCTCTCAACAGGATGACTTACAGACCCTCAGTCATATTATAGACTTAATAATCCCAATATTGGTTAATTGATGGAATGAACACATGAAATGGGTCAAAGCCGTGTAATTTTCTTATTCTGCTGGTTCAGTGAAGGAGATAAGCTAGGAAGAATGATGAAAGGATTTAAATTAATGAGTTAGTAATAAAAGAAGAGAAATAGCAAACAAGTGTTCATATTTATCAGTGGGAGAACTCTGGAGAGACAGTTTGCATATAATAAAATATGAGGATAGCTCATGAGAAAGAACAATTCAAATTTGTTTTTGAATACATTTTTCTACATTATCAGTGCACATGGAGAAATCAGAAGCCTCACCTCATTGGGTCCCTGGCTGCACGTCTTCCTGTAAGTCAAGCAAAAGAGCATTCCTGTCAATGGAGGAAACCTTTCTCGGTGATCTCACAGAGCATGGAATGTTCCTCAAGCCGGGGTGCCCATCACAAGATGCCACTGTGCCCCCAGGGCATCCTGGCAACCATTTAGGCAGATACTTTATTTTGCAGATGAAGAGTCTCAGGTCCAGAATAGTTAAGCAAGCTTCCCCCAAACAGTCTATAGCAGAGCTAGGACTTGTACCCAAGCCTCTGAATCTATTATATTTTTTGCTTTACACTTATTATATTTTCACACCTATTATATTTCTTGCTTTTGGTTTTACAACCACACCTCCTAATCTTATCAGGACAAGAGTCCTCAAAAGCAGGTGCTGTCACAGTCACATCATAGAGGGAGTGAGGTGCCCAACGGTGCGGGTAAAGCTTGGGATTTAAATGAGAATCTCACACAGGCTTCTCTTGTCCATCTCCAGCCTGCTCAATGGAGAGCAGAAGTCCAAGATTAAACATACAAATAGATATGCAATCACCAACTGTGGTAAAGCATGACACTAAATAACTAGGTACTCTGATGAAGAATAACAGAACTGTATGCTCAGTGGCCAGGGAACCTCTTAGAGACAATGACATGTAAGCTAAAGAAGTGAGACAGATCCAGCAATGAGTAGAACTGATTGGTATATGGTTGAGGTGATGAGAAAGCATGTGATAATCCTTGAAGGTGAATAAGAATTAGCTGGGAGATGATCCGTATAGCTGGAACTGCTAACTGTATTTCTCTTCCAGGGGCTGATTAGTTCTTTTAAATAGAGTTATATTTTCGTATAGACATTAAATCACAGAAGCACAAGAATATCAGTGAAACATCAACTGATAACAGGTGAAGGATGGGGGAACTTTGTAAAAATGTTTCACTACTTTAATGGGTACCATTCCCATGCTGGGGGCTGTGAGCGGTTCTGTAGGCAGGGTGGCTGATGGGATATATTCATCCTTTGCAGTATACATGTCGCAAATCTAGCCTACTTCCATGAAAACAAAGGTCCAGAAACAAAATGCCAATCTCTATAAATACTAACCTATTTTTCTCTTGAGCCAACAGCAGAATAATAGGGCCCCTGTGGTGGGACCAAGGATCCCGAGCAGCCCCTCCATGACTGAAGTAAGAAGTACTCTTCTGTCCTCCGCAGGCACTGAGGGGAGAGACCTGTGCATGAGCTGCCCAGGCGCCGGGCTTGGGTCTGGAGAGCAGACGTCTTGAGCCTGGGCTGAGGCCGAGGTCTGCTTTCCCAGGAGCAGTGGGACTTATGTATCCAGGGACTTGAAGTCATCACATTAAATTAGAGGGGCACCCAGCCTTCATGTCCTCCATGTCCCTCAGATACATCTCCCAGGACAGGAGAAACCCCAGCTTTGGTAGCACAACACCAGAAATATTGTGGGGTTTGCAAAACTCTCCCAGGATGCCAGGAAATACATTGACCAAGACAGTCCCATAGCCTGAGCTGTACCTGTGATGTTGAGTGCCACCATCTCACTGCGCTGGGCCTCCGGGCCATTGTTGGCCTCACAGGAGTAGTTTCCAGAATGTTCTGCCGTCAGAGAGAGGTTGAAGGACGCTCCTCCTCCAAATGGGGCTGAGCTGCTCCCCAGGGTGACATTCTTATGATAAAACCAGTACAGGATCGGGGGAGAGCCTCTCTGGGCCTCACAGCGGAGCTCCACCACGTCCCCCACCACAGCCTGGGCCCCGGGAGCCTTGAGGGTGAGGACGGGGCGGGACACTGGAACTGAGAGAGATGGTGGGATGTCGGAGAGGGTCTCTGACATGGTGACAGACGCACAATCCCTTGTCAATGGAGGAAACCTTTCTCGGTGATCTCACAGAGCATGGAATGTTCCTCAAGCCGGGGTGCCCATCACAAGATGCCACTGTGCCCCCAGGGCATCCTGGCAACCATTTAGGCAGATACTTTATTTTGCAGATGAAGAGTCTCAGGTCCAGAATAGTTAAGCAAGCTTCCCCCAAACAGTCTATAGCAGAGCTAGGACTTGTACCCAAGCCTCTGAATCTATTATATTTTTTGCTTTACACTTATTATATTTTCACACCTATTATATTTCTTGCTTTTGGTTTTACAACCACACCTCCTAATCTTATCAGGACAAGAGTCCTCAAAAGCAGGTGCTGTCACAGTCACATCATAGAGGGAGTGAGGTGCCCAACGGTGCGGGTAAAGCTTGGGATTTAAATGAGAATCTCACACAGGCTTCTCTTGTCCATCTCCAGCCTGCTCAATGGAGAGCAGAAGTCCAAGATTAAACATACAAATAGATATGCAATCACCAACTGTGGTAAAGCATGACACTAAATAACTAGGTACTCTGATGAAGAATAACAGAACTGTATGCTCAGTGGCCAGGGAACCTCTTAGAGACAATGACATGTAAGCTAAAGAAGTGAGACAGATCCAGCAATGAGTAGAACTGATTGGTATATGGTTGAGGTGATGAGAAAGCATGTGATAATCCTTGAAGGTGAATAAGAATTAGCTGGGAGATGATCCGTATAGCTGGAACTGCTAACTGTATTTCTCTTCCAGGGGCTGATTAGTTCTTTTAAATAGAGTTATATTTTCGTATAGACATTAAATCACAGAAGCACAAGAATATCAGTGAAACATCAACTGATAACAGGTGAAGGATGGGGGAACTTTGTAAAAATGTTTCACTACTTTAATGGGTACCATTCCCATGCTGGGGGCTGTGAGCGGTTCTGTAGGCAGGGTGGCTGATGGGATATATTCATCCTTTGCAGTATACATGTCGCAAATCTAGCCTACTTCCATGAAAACAAAGGTCCAGAAACAAAATGCCAATCTCTATAAATACTAACCTATTTTTCTCTTGAGCCAACAGCAGAATAATAGGGCCCCTGTGGTGGGACCAAGGATCCCGAGCAGCCCCTCCATGACTGAAGTAAGAAGTACTCTTCTGTCCTCCGCAGGCACTGAGGGGAGAGACCTGTGCATGAGCTGCCCAGGCGCCGGGCTTGGGTCTGGAGAGCAGACGTCTTGAGCCTGGGCTGAGGCCGAGGTCTGCTTTCCCAGGAGCAGTGGGACTTATGTATCCAGGGACTTGAAGTCATCACATTAAATTAGAGGGGCACCCAGCCTTCATGTCCTCCATGTCCCTCAGATACATCTCCCAGGACAGGAGAAACCCCAGCTTTGGTAGCACAACACCAGAAATATTGTGGGGTTTGCAAAACTCTCCCAGGATGCCAGGAAATACATTGACCAAGACAGTCCCATAGCCTGAGCTGTACCTGTGATGTTGAGTGCCACCATCTCACTGCGCTGGGCCTCCGGGCCATTGTTGGCCTCACAGGAGTAGTTTCCAGAATGTTCTGCCGTCAGAGAGAGGTTGAAGGACGCTCCTCCTCCAAATGGGGCTGAGCTGCTCCCCAGGGTGACATTCTTATGATAAAACCAGTACAGGATCGGGGGAGAGCCTCTCTGGGCCTCACAGCGGAGCTCCACCACGTCCCCCACCACAGCCTGGGCCCCGGGAGCCTTGAGGGTGAGGACGGGGCGGGACACTGGAACTGAGAGAGATGGTGGGATGTCGGAGAGGGTCTCTGACATGGTGACAGACGCACAATCCCTCCCACAGAGGCCCAGCCCCCTCTGAACTTCCTCAGGGCGCCCTGGGGGAACAGATGCCCAGTTTGCCATCTGCTGACTCAGCTGCAGGGTGGTGGAACTTACTTCTGACAGTGACGCTCACCAGCCCGCTGAGACTGGGGCCATAGCCATTGTCGGCCGCACAGTAATATTTCTCAGCATCCCTCTCCGTCACCATAGGGATCTCAAACTTCGCTGCCAGTGAACGCTGGGTCTTTTTTTCCAGGGCTAAACCCAGGGCCCCTTTGTACCACAAGAAGGTGATGTTTCCCGTGCCCCGAGCAGCCAAGCAGATGAGAACCAGCTTCTCTCCCTCCATGACATGTCCCCCAGGAGGCTGTGTCTCCAAGCTCACATCCCAGATGGGGATTCCTGCCCGAACACAAGTGACACAGGAGGGCCCTGAGTAGGAAGGGTTTGAGGGGGTAAAGAGTAGGCATGACAGTCCTGAAAGCCAAGGCCTTGGCTCAAGTAAGTCATTTACGCAGCTCATGGTGAGGGAGGTGGAGGGGGTTTCCTCTGGTTTGGGATTGACGTTGGTTGAGGTGATGGCGGGTCATGATGGTTGGTGGTGGTACGGTGGGAAGGAGATGCCGCAGTACCAAGGAGGGTGCAGCATCCCCTCTCTCCTCAGGCAGTGGGACTCCCAGAACCCTGCTCTCTCAAACTCTCATTTTTCCAGGCATGTTATTATAGGGGTTACAAGTCCTGGCTGCAAGTCAAACTGCCTGGGTTTGAATGTGGGTCCCAACTCTGTGTGTGTGTGCCTTATCAAGTTCCTTCACTTTTCTGAGATGCCACCTTCCCATCTGTAGAGGGCAGGGACAGTGACCTCCTGCAGTTCAGCTAAACAACCTACGGAGGCACCGGAGCAGGGCTTGCTGTCCAGGGGCTCTGTTGCTGTGGTCGGGCTTCACCAGAGTTGAGATTTGAGCAAGTGTGGGAAAGCCCAGCCTCCTGGAGGTAGCAGACGTTTGCTTCATGGCACAATGGATGCATCTTTGTCTGAGAAGGGAGAGGAGTTCTCCCTTCTCTGTAGTTCTAGTCATCGTGACCCTACCCACCACCACCACACATTCCACCCTGTGTTTAGGGTGCTGGTTGAGCATCGGCTCCTTCTAGTTCGGACCCGTGCACCATGCAGCGATTTCTGCCCGTCCCTTCCCACCCAGTCTCCAGCACAGTGAGGACACGCAGTAAAGATTTCCTGAATGCTTTTCTCTCGGCTCTGTTGGGCTTGGCAAAAGGATGAGGGACTCTGATGAGGACAGAAGCCCAGAATGCACGTCCAGACCACCAGCCTCGCGCTCTGCCCTCCTGCCCACCCCCCACCCCCCACCACACAGAGGGTCCCCTGCACTCACTCTGCACAGAAATAGGGACTCTCCGGCTCCGACTCCAGCTCCGTGTGTCTTTCAGGGTTACTATCTTTTCTTCACACCAATAGGACCCCGAGTCTTCCCTCCACATGGTGGCGATCTGGAGCTCCGGGGAGCTGCTCCAGCCCAGCCCCAGAGCCTGGCTGTCTCTGAAGAAGCAGAATTCAAGCTGGACATCTGGCTTCTGCGGACGTTGCTGTGTCTTGCAGGTCAGGGTCATTGAGTTCCCCTCTATGGGCTGAGAGGGTCTGGCTGTCAGAAGCAGCTCTGGAGAAGAGGATTAAACACATATTCCAGGGCAATGGGGTTCAGAGATCCTAGGAAGAAGCTACTTTGTGTTCTTGGCATTTGAATCAAGCCTCAAATAACCAGCCCCTGGGCACACAGACCACCCCTCAGCGCCCCCATCCCAGGGACCCACAGGCTTTCCATTGCCAACTGCCCACCACCAGCACCTCCTGCCTCGTGCAGCACCTCTTGCTTCCATAGCAACCTTTACCTTTACCTTGCTTCTTACTCTCTGAAGATTCTGTCCATGAAATAAAATACCTTTTATGGAGAGAGTGCCGGAGTACTGACAATTGTCACCGGTTGGCACTGGAGATGGTGAAGCTTGAAGTTTTAGGGACAGTGAATGTATTTCATTCCTCCTTGTTATTAGCCATATGCGTTATTTTCTTCTGTAGCCTTTCCCATGGTATCTCAGACTCATGCCTTTTCTTTCAAAGACAGAATATGAGATCTGGAGGATCAGTCAGTCTGGGAAAGACTTCGAGGAACTCAATTCCTTCTTTACTGCTTCTCTCCTGCCCCTATTACTGACCTTCCTAAGGGAAGGAGCAGGCATGCACTTGCCTGCAAACGCTTTGCACCTACCCAGCCACACGGCCCAGCTCCCCTACACTTCTCAGAAGCCATTAAGGAGCAGATTCAATGCATACGTTAAGCCTCAGAGATGTCCCCCTTTTTGGCCACAGGGGCTCTTTTATGGATGAATTAGAGATGGGTAGAGGTGTGTTCTGCTTTCACTCTTATCTTCTTATCTCCTCCAGCCACCACAGCCAGTGAAACATCAAAGTCCCTGAGGGCCCTGGCTCTTTAAGTGTTTGTTTATCTAGCCCTCAGGGCCTCTGCTTTGGGGGGAAATTTTAAGAATTTCCCTAAGGAAAACCCTTCTCTTCTCACCAGATGAAAATGCCAAGTGTTCTAAATCACTGAGAGGCGGCTCCTGGTCCAACACCTGTAATCTCCAAACCTTCTTATTGGAATGCTTTACCCTGGAACTTTAAAAAAATCTGTTTCAACCATGGTACCAGAATGTTTGGTCCGTGCTGGGGCATGGAAGTCCCTGTACATTGAATCACGTTCTGTCCTTGGACAGCTGTCATTCACAGAGGACTGAGGGGCAGCACAGCTTGCTTTTGGGCTGAGCAGAGAAAGGACTAAAAAAGGCATCTGTCCAC